TGTCATGAAATTTAATGAAATGTTTGTGAACATTTCAACGAACTATTCCGAAGAAAGAGAAATAACTCGTCTACAGCGTGACAGGCGTTCATTGTCATTCTAGTCGGCCACTGGAATTTCCGAACCAGCCCCGGGCTGCGACGCAAATTTGAGCGAGTACTAAAATGCAAATTGGAGCCCGAGTAGTAAAAGGAGTTATTGTAAACGGCAAAGCCCGTTCCGCCGTACGCGTTCGTGAGCGTATGCACGAGGCGGCGCCGGTTCGATATAAAGTCCGTGTAGTTTGCGTACTCGTACAGCGACTTCTGATTAGTGGGATTTGAGACGAAGTATATTTTGTTCTCGCTGTCCGGTGCTGGCAGCGGGTCTTTGAACCAAGCTCCGTAGGTAGTCGCACTGGCAGTTCCCATCCACCTATGCGTCCACGGCTCGGAGATGGATGATAGCTTTTCCTTTCCACAGTTTACTAGAGCGATACAGAATGTACAGCATTATAACATCGATAATATAGTATCGTACGTGCGCACGTGCTTGCTTGCGTTCGTGTATCTGTGGACATGTGTCTGATTTTCTCTCGATTCTGATCCACCCTAGCTGCTAATTAATGTTTCCTAAGAAAGCTGATACTGGAAACATACAGTTAATTATCAATGAAAATATACTAAATTTGAGAAAACTTTATATAGAATTGCAATAAATGAAAATTAGAGGGGCGGAAACCTAGACGAAAAACATAAAATGACATTAGCTACGAATAACTTCTAACAACTACTAACACCTATCGTTACATAGCGGCTAAGCCAGTCTCTGTTATCTATATTCCTATTGTCGATTCAGACTCACCTGGCACCGAAATATTATGGGCTCCGTGAAAGAAATCTGGCACGAGGTCCGATTGGCTGCTTTCAGTGACGTGGAATGCGTTTTGCTCCTTGCAATAACCTAATCTTGAACCTAGATCTGCTAACTGAAACATTGAATATAAATTTTGGTATCAATCTTTGGTTGCACAAGTTCGTGGGTAAACAAACGAAGATGGTGGGGAGCATCCCAGTTCCAGTGTTAGGGGAAAGTGTTCTAGAGTGATCGAGACAGTGACAGAGGAAGCGTGTAGAAGGGCGGATCCAGCTTTTTGAAAAAGGGAGGGGTCCAGTAAAAAATAAAAAGCACTTTTTCCTGCTTAATTTTTCTGGTGTTTTAAAAAGGTGCCGAAGGCAGCTTATGCGACGTGCCTAAAGCACGTCGCTACTTAGGGTGTGTTTGGGAGACCGCCCCAAGAAAATTTGTAAAAATGGGTGCATTCTGAGAGCATCTGAGCAGTAATTTTGATGTCTAGAATGCAAGACGGAATTCCAAATTTTTAGCAGAAAATTATCTGTTGTGTTTTCCATTTTTTTCATTTCTTTGGGGTAAAAGAAGGGGGTTCTGGACCCCCTGACCCCCCCCCTCTGGATCCGCCCATGGACAACGACCCTTCGTGCAAAAGTGATTAAGTTCCACCCACTTCTTATCGGAAGGATGCACCCCTCGCACGCTTCATACTTGAATGCCAACTAAAGTTGAGCGTGCGATGTTATACATTTTGCTTTTGAGGTGTTATATTTTTTGCGCCCCGCCGAGTGACTCCGTGTGCACTGCTACTGGACTACGTGACACACGCACGTACTAATGCTGAGAGGGTCTATTTCCCCCAGGGGTACTGCCAGAACGTACCCCTGGGTAAGGTCCGGTATACCGGAACGTGCTCGCGAAGTTTGGGTTACGGTTAGACCCCCCCTGCTACAAATCTTGTACACGCCCCTGGTGCGTGTGTGGTTGTGTGTGTGTGTGTGTGTGCGCGCGCGCGCGCGCGGCGCGCGTGTGTGTGTGTGTGTGTGTGTGTGTGTGTGTGTGGGTGTGTGTGTGTGTGTGTGTATGCAGTCGTGTGTGCGTGCGTGCGCGCGTGGCGCGTGTGTGTGTGTGTTGTAAGTGAGTGGTCTTATACACACTTTCTGAAAAGTTAAACTAGCTAGTATTTGTCTCCGCATCAGAAAATTATCCATTCGCCCTGCACAACAACCCGGTATCTGGAACACTGAGCTTACATTTAGGAGCTTAATAGGCTCCGCGTACGATGTATCACATATAGAGATCGTCCGCATTGTCTATATCTGAAATCAACAAGCAGAATAGAATATATACTGAGATAAAATAGTGGCGATTAGATTGGATGAAATGTGACGTCAATTGTAACTTTTAAAGTTGAAGTATAAAGGTTACATGGCAGCAAACATGGTCATTTTAACACCAGAATCAAAATTCAGTTAATTCAAAACTTTAAATGTGGTATGAAGTAAGCTATGCTACAGAGAAATTATGCCGCGAACTAGCCATCCTTTAATTTATATAAGTGAGAGATTCACATAGGTATCTTACAGATGAAATCATGGTAAACCTTTGTTAGAACATGTGCTCTCTACCTTAAAAGTACATTTCAGTCAAATATTACTGCATTCATTAGATAAATGGCTATATAGAACATTAAACTGCATATTTCATCTATGGCACACGTCGCCATGTATATTAGAGCGATTATTACGTTTTATTATTACGTCTATTAGAGCGATATGTCAGCTACGATAAGGCCCGTTATATTACGATGTCCTTCACAGGCTCGGTCGTTTCGCGTGAGGCGAGTTTGTGGTTTGTGAGACGTCGGTCGACGGAACCCTCTGTACATCTATATAGATGCCTTCGTAAAGTCTTTTACACACACACAATATTGTCGGCAAGCCACCATTAATTAATATACTTGTATTTTAATTAATCTATAACCAACTGTTGTTGTTAATTGGTCAGTGTACATAGTTTTCGGCACGATGCTAACTCGGAATGGTCCACGAAGAGCCTCCCGAGGGTGTGACTAAATAGGCGACATGTGGAGAGCCTCTATTGACGCACACCTGTACATGAACAACATGTGTGGCTGTCATCACGCACGATGCCTTATCAAAGCGGAACACATAAAGGTTGCATATACACATTAAAGTTTGTAAATTCTGCAACAGAATGTGCGAAATGCCGTAGATTTTTTTGGTCTCGTTGAGGGCTGCGAGAAAAAACGGAACAGATGTGAGAAGTGTGAATGCAAAGCTTTGTTCTGCCGGACGTGACGTGCCGCGGGTGACATTTTGAGCATTCGCCGAAGGATTCCTCTGCCAGCGTGTCGTGCGCGACGACACACATTGTTCTGCAGCGTAACCGCGGATCTCAAACCAGCTTAGATTGCAAGCTCATCTTATTGTCCATAGCGCGGTGACGATGGAAATGTGTATAGTTTGCATCCTGCTCGAATACAACGACGTCCTTTGTTAATGTAATCGACACAACGGGCGGGTGCCTGCTTTTTCACGTGAACGCGGGAGTGTGGCTTGTGGTCTTCAGTTGGGAGCAACGGAGCCATAATGTAAGAGTGCACTCCGCGGGATCGACAAGCCATGTATACAGCGATTATACAAGCAACATCGATCAGCTGAGACGATGGTTATAAATAGTACCAGCTTCAGTTGTTAGGCTACCAGCACATATTATTTCCGTCGCTGCACGCGTGCGTTTAGTTGCCACCCGGTCACGGAAAGCCGAAAGGGTCTCCGAAATTTCGATTCCGTATTTCTCGTTAGTTGGCAGCGTCCGATTGCAAGCGATGCATCCGTGTTGGCCACACCGGAGTCTGTTTGATGCACGACAGCAGCTTTCTACAACTGAGATGCGCTCTGAGACAGGACTGCGTTTCCCAGCGAGGTGGCCTTACCTATATACTGTACGAAAAAGCAACCATCTCCTACAGAGAACAGCATCCTACTTTCCTGGTAATGTTTTCCGCGTCAGAAATATTTGCCTAATTAGTCGCTTAATTGGCAGTGATTGCAGATCGTTCGTACTGGGCTTGTTTATATTTTGTTTTAATGAAATTGTTTAGATTAATTTATTTAAATGCAAGGCGCCCAATTTGTTTTTTAGCGTGTACTTGTAATATGTCACAAAGTCAATATAGAGCTGCTGTTTTTTAGGCGGTGTAACTTGTAAATATGTCAAAAATCGCCTAGAGCTGGCATAGTAGTATAGTACTGTTGTTATTTTTCTAGGCTTGAGTCGGAAGGTATCGACGAGGACATGAATCTTGTGCATGATGTTCAACGGAAGGTGCTGCGACAGTCTTTCCAGCGATCTGCTCACAGTTCTACAAGAGTCTACTCAGCAAGCAGGTGGCACGCGACGAAAAAAACAGATTCATGCTCTGGTCCGAGATTCTCAAATTACGGTTCCGAAGTTGCCATTCCACAGAGTTATTACACATAGGTGAGAATTACCGGGAAAATACTGGTAGTATGCGACGTACTGTCACTTTTATCATAAAGAAGTGGCTCAAATTCTACAATGTGTACATGCTTCTATTGAATGCGAATCAAACAATGTTATCATAGTTTAATATCAAAATCGCAGTTGTTTAACCAAACCTAAATTAAAGATGACGCGTTTTCGCGATCACATTTTTTCTCAGGATCATTATAACGTCATCACCGTCACACCGCTCTGTTGCTCCGCCATCATTTCTAATACATCTTTGCTTTTGGTGTAATGTAGTAAGAGCACGAGCTGATCGACAAGATCGTGGAGCGTCTGCGTGTGATGCAGTGACAGTACGGTGGCGCAGAGCATCCTGCGACGCCGGCGGAACCTCTGCCCGCGCAGCACGCGGGTCATGGAGACGTGTGGTTACGTCCGCAACAGGGACCATCCTTATCCAGCAAGAAGGAGCGCACCCTGCTGGCAGCCGCTGCGGCATCACTCAAACACAGGTGTTGTGTGGTGTGTGTGTGTGTGTGTGTTGTGTGTGTGTGTGTTGTGTTTGTGTGTCTGCGCGCTCACGTACACGCGTGTGTAGTATATATATGATTATATAAGAGAAAGAGAGAGGGGGGGGGGTAGAGAGATTTCTACATACTTATATAAGCATCTATTTGCTCTATATACATAATTTAGGTGACTCAGGTATAATATTATGATCGCCATTATTGAGAATTTATTATATTTTATTATATTTTATTCTTGTTTTAATTATCTGAAGCAATACGTATCTATTGGTTTTCTCTGTTTCAAATTTTAGAACTAGCATTAATTCAGCAGTTTGTCGCGTGTGTACGGTCAAGTCTTGGTAATGCAAACAAAGAAATCGGAGGTCAACACAGGGGGACCATGTCGAAGTTTCGTAAGCGATAAGCATCAGCCATCGCCGCGTCAGCGAAGTCGCCATCTACAGGACTGACGCAGTCTTCAGTGCAGTCCTGATGGCCATACAAACCGGGCAGAACTTGTCATCTACCCAGCTGGGGCGACCACGGACACTACCAATCAGTACGTCACAACAGGCAGGCGTCTCGGAGTAATGGAGTGGTGGCGTGCAAAACTCGAGTCCTCAGTTGGCATATGGGACCAGGTGAAAAGATGCGGCTGCAGACAATTGGATTGCCACAGCTTCCAAGCTCGAATACTACAGGCGCGGTGGCATGGCACGCCAACCACTTCCAGCGAACTTCTCTACCTCTTAGCCCTCTAGTGCTAAGTGGACACTTCTTCAGGCTTAGTTAATGACAGACTAAACATGATAACAGAATGACCATGGTTACGTGATATTGCTCTGAATGTATATAGGACAGATGTGAACCACAAAACTAAATAATGTTGATGTTTGTTAATGTTTAATTCATACATAATGCGTAAGTGTTTTATACGTCTATATTCCTAATTACAATTTCACCGCCAGTGTAAATATGATAACTGCAATGATAACCACTAATAGCGCACCTAAAACTTTATAACTATTTAATCATGTATTCGAGTTGACACATTTTAAGATTTGTCATTTGTTTTCTTCACTTTAAATAACAATAAAGCTTGATTTATTTATAATTATGAATGTATGTGCGT